TTCTTCATCTTCTCAAATAACCAGCTCTTTGTTTCTTTGATGCCGTCTACTGCCTTTTTTGTTTCAATAGCATTTATTTCTGCCCTGATTTTTATGATTTCTCTCCTTCTGCTGACTTTAGGCTTTGTTTTTTCTACTTTTTATAATTCAGTTACATTTAGTTTGTGATTGCTTATTTAGGATTCTTCTTGTTTGTTAAGGTGAGCCTGTATTGCGATGAATTTCCCTCTTAATACTACTTTTGCTGCATCCAATATAAGTTGGAATGGTGTGTTATCATGTTCATTTGTCTCCAGATATTTTTTGATTTCTCCTTTAATTTCTTCAATAATCTCTTGGTTGTTCAATAGCATGCTGTTTAGTCTCCACATCTTTGTCCTTTTCTCAGCTTTTTTCTTGTAATTAATTTCTAGCTTTATAGCATTGTGATCAGAAAAGATGTTTGTTATTATTTCATTCTTCTTAAAATTATTGAGGCTTGCCTTGTTTCCCAACATATGGTCTATCATGAGAATGTTCCATGTGCACTTGAGAAGAATATGTATTCTGGTGTTTTTGGATGGAGTATTCTATGTATGTCTGTTGAGTCCAACTGGTCTAGCTTTTCATTTAATTCCACTGTTCCCTTGTTGATTTTCTGTCTGGATGATCTATCCATTGATGTGAGTGAAGTGTTGAGGTCCCCTACTATCATTGTGTTATTTATTAATATCTTCTTTTAGGTTTGTTAATAGTTGCTTTATGTACTTTGGTGCTCCTGTGTTGGGTGCCTAGATGTTTATAAGTGTTACATCTTCTTGGTGAAGTGTCCCTTTGATCATTATATACTGCCCCTCTTTGTCTCTCTTTACCTTTCTTATCTTGATGTCTACTTTGTCTGATATAAGTATTGAGGCACCTGCTTTCTTTTTTTTACCATGAGCTTGGAGTATCGTCTTCCATCCCTTCACTCTGAGCCTGTGTTTGTCATTGGAGCTGAGATGTGTTTCCTGGAGGCAGCATATTGTTGGTTCTTGTTCTTTAATTCATCTTGCCACTCTGTGTCATTTTATTGGAGAATTCAATCCATTTACGTTTAGAGTGAGTATCGATATATGAGGGCTTAATGCTGTCATTTTATCACATGTTTTCCAGTGCTCCTGCATTTCCTTTGTTTCTTGTCCTGTGTATTTTGATCTGCTAATTGAGTTATGTAGTTTTTTATGTTGTGTTTCTTTGTTTTCTCCTTATTTATTATTTGTGTCTGTGTTCTGCTCTTTTGTTTAGTGGTTACCATGAGGTTTGTAGATAAGATAGTCCATTTTATGATGGTGTCCTATTTCCTTAGACTAAACCAATTCACTCCCTATCCTCTTCCCCTCCTAAGTTGTTTTTCTCACATCTAATTCCATCTTGCATTGTGAGGTTATGGTTAAAATGACAAGATTATATTTGTTTTTCATGTTTTCCTTCCCTTTATCTTTAATGATACACTGGAGTATTTGGTAACCTGTTCTGATATATAGCTACAATTTTCTGATTTTGTCTACCTATTTATCTCCTTATTCCATGCTTTGTAACCCCTTTATCCCTCTTTTTTTCAGGTATGAGGGGCTTCTTGAGGGTTTCTTGTTGTTGGGGGGGAATCTTGTGGCTACAAACTCCATTAGCTTTTGTTTATCTAGGAAAGTTTTTATTTCTCCATCATATCTGAAGGATATTTTTGCTGGATGGAATATTCTGGGCTGAAAGTTGCTGTCCTTCAAAGATTTGAATATGTCATTCTAGTTTCTCCTAGCCTGTAAGGTTTCTGCAGAGAAATCTGCTGAAAGCCTGATGGGTGTTCCTTTGAAGTTTATTTTCTTCTGCCTTGCTGCCCTTAGTATTTTTTCTTTGTCATTCACTTTTGCCAGTTTCTCTACTACATGCCTTGCAGTAGGTCTTTTTACATTGACATATTTAGGAGATGATAGTCTCTTCCACATGGATTTCCAGCTCCTTCCCTAGGTTTGGGAACTTCTGTATTATTTCTTTGAGCAAGCTTTCTGCTCCATTCCCCTTCTCTTCTACCTCTGAAATACGTATAATTCTTATGTTGCATTTCTTATTTGAGTCTTATTTTTCTAGGAGACTTTATTCATTTCTTTTTAGTCATAGTTTTTTCTCCTCCTCTCTGTGTAACATTTTAATATGTCTATCCCCGGTTAAGCGGATTTGCTCTTCTACGATGTCCGCTTGTGCATTTGGGGAATCCATATTTTGTTTTATCTCTTCCATTGTGTCTTTCATCTCCAATATTTCTGATTGATTCTTCTTTATAGTTTCAATCTCTTTTGTGATGTAGCTCCTGAACTCATTGAATTGTTTTTCTACATTCTCTTTTAACTTGCATTTTTTTTTTGATAATAGCTATTTTGAATGCTCTGTCATTTAGATTACATATTTCTGTGTCCTCAGTACTGAGTTCTGGGTGCTTGTCATTTTCTCTCTGGTCTGGAGATTTAATATAATTTTTGATACTGCTAGAGGGCGTGGCTCTGTTTTTGTGCATCATGGTATTATTTGGTCACAGTTATTGCATATTGCCACTGGGTGGGGATCAACAGCCGTGTATTCTGAGCTCTCTGCATTCAACCAAGATCAGGCACTGGAGCCAGTGCTGGGCAGGTGGAGGGTAGGGATACTTTCTTCTGCATGCTCATGGGGTTTTCTCACTCTGTTCTCACTATCTGCTCTCTTGGAATGTTGGCTTGATGAGGTCACCCCCTGTGATAGCTTTCACCCCAGTAGAGGGATTCCCTCTATGCTGCAAGGGCCCTTGATATCTTTGATGTTCCTGTCAACAAACGTACCCTCTCCCTTTCCCCCTCGGAGGCAGCCCATGGTGTCAGATCACAGTCTTTTCAGAAGGGAGTGAAGTTTTCTCTTACTCCATTCCTCTGAGGGGTCCTCCAGCCTCTCCATCGTATGGCTGCATGAGTCTCTCTGACGTCTTTTGTGTTGTGTTTGGATGTCCTCTGTTGGAATATGAATGTTTTTTTTTCATTTTATGGTGGAAGCGAGAGATTACATGGAATGCTCACTGTGCCATGATGCTTTCCTATAGATTTTTCTGGCAGCAACCAAGAAAGATTTCCTGGCCTCATGGTGCCCCGACGTGGACTAGATGAGTGTTATCTCACCTAACATTCTTTTTCTACCATAGTACCTCCTTTTCCTTTCCTCCTTGAAATCAGAAAAAGCTGCCCTTCTGGAACATCATACTTCATCGGTAATTACAACTCAAACGTCTCTCATACATAACTCCTCTAATTTTCTTTCATTCTTTCCCACTCTTGTCCCATTCCTTGAGAAAACAACACTTCCTCATTCTCCTTTTCTGTCACTCTCATCGAAAAACTTCAGAAATGTCTTGAACACCTACCATGTGCCAGGCACTGTTCTAAGCCCTTGAAATATATCACTGGAAAAAACATCAAAGATGAAAATCTCTGCCTACAAAGAGCTCACAGTCTAATAGAAATCAGAGTTTTCTGCATCTGACTTCTACTATGCTTGTTCCTACATTAACCCCAACCCCCAGTCCCAAAGAGGCTTCATGGAAGCCTTAGAACTGTGCAGAGAACAATTTGAAATCTTTTAATTCCAGATGGAGAAGTTGAGGCTTACAAAGAAAAAGACCTTGACAAAGGATGTGATTCCTGGGCATCTAACTCCCAGGTCAGTGTTCTCTGCTACACTTGCTGACTCTCTATGTCTGGTTGACCCAGATCCAAAACTGATAACAATGGGCCTAGTATAATCTCTGACATAGTAATTATGCAACAAATATTTGGTGGATGATGGATGTATATGTAGCAGTTCTCATATATTTGAATGAAAGAAAATAAAATGTATGTGTTTTGAGATAAAACTGGAAATATTTTAAAGTGTCAAAATTTTGCAGACTCTTTGATAGTGGCATAAAAGTTTTCCGCATAATCCCAATAGAACATTCTTTGTGTGTTATTGCTATCTAATAAGGACTGGTTCCTCATTTTCTGACATTCAATAAATAAAAGAATTGTTTTTAGGTTTATCGTTTACTTGTTGGTGTGGCTATATTATAATTTTGTTTCCTTGCTGATTGTGCATTTGTTGTATTTTAATTACATTAGGTCTTAAATGGCAATTGTGAAGTGACCTATAAAATGAACATTTCTGTGGGTAAATGTGATTTACATCCAAAACAGTTATCTGATTTATCGACTACCTTTTGAAATTCAACCATATCATAAATGAGGAAACTGATTATAATTGGAGACAGCATGATGTGAAATCTGACCAATTAAGTCATAAGAAACCTGTAGATATTTCTTCCTTGCCCTACGTTTTCCTCTCTTATGAGATCCAACTATTGATAGATCAAAGGAAATCTGGTTAAAGAGGTACTGGTAGGTGCTTCTGGTGGGAATGATTGTGATGGTGTAGGGCAGCTGAATGAGGCCACCAAATCTCTCCTTTCATAGGAGAAAAGCTATCTAACAAGGAAATAGAACACTGATTATATTAACGCTACCTAATTTGTATGTGTAACAGAGGTAGACAGATAAAATGCTTCTTTAGAGAGATTTGGCACTGATGTGTAAATAAGTTCATTAGGGTAAATATCCATATAGGAACATCGAACTTCTTAGAATGAGAACTAGACCAGGAAGGGGAGGATTCTAGAAACTATGTGTCTATGCTAATATTCCTATTAAAATAGGAAGGGTTGGAAAGGTGAGAAGTAGTAAATTCACAAGCATACAGGATTTGGGGGGGGGCAGCTAATATTGTTTGGGACAAGTCAGGACCATCTTGATGAGTAGAATATCCAAATTAGAATGTTGTCCAAATGCTGACTTCTCAGTATCTACTAAGTCCTGAGAAATAATGTTCATAGAACAGAAACAACTGTAACCAAAGGTAAGTGGCATACTGTATGCATTTAGTGAGTTAGATCTTATTTTAAAATCATCTTTCCCTTGTCTCTGTTCCAGATATGGATCAACCCATAAACAACTTGGAGGTCCAACTAAATTCAGAGAGTGGCTCAATGCATGTGTTCAAACAGGTCAGTTATCAGAAAATGAGATATTAATGTTGAGTCATAATAGTGTTGAGTACCTGGTAATCATTATAGAGCTGAAGCACATTTTTCTTTCTGACAATGTGTTGAGGACTGAGAAGGAGTAAAGGAAAGGAGGCTTCCAGGAAGTACCTAAATGCCTGAATTTGAAGTTCAAGTAGGGAGTAGCTCTGGCCTAATAGAAACATGGCTTCTGGGATCAAGGCTATAGGGTCAAGATTAGACACTTGATAGACAACAGTAACAATTTATGTAGCATTATTCCATATTCCAGGCACTCTGAAGATTAAATACATTGTCTTATTTAATCCTCACAATAAGTCTGTTGGATAGCTTATTAGTCAGGGTTCTTCAGAGAAACAAAAGCAACAGAATGTATATGTCTCAATCTCCCTCTTTATGTATATATCTATAAATATAAATAAAATATATATACCTATATATTTATATATAAATTATGTATGTTTATATTTGAGATCTTATATCTTATATATATGTGATAAAAATATATATCTATCCCTAACTGTTGATTTTTTTCAATCATTTTATTGAGATCATACTGGTTTATAACATTGTGTAATTTCAGATGTACATTACTAGTTATCAGTTTCGGTATAGACTGCATCATGCTCACCACTAATTGTCTAATTTTTATCCGTCACCATATATATGTGTCCCTTTACCCCTTTCACTCATCCCCCAACCCCGTTCCCCTCTGGTAACCACTAATACGTTCTCTTTATCTATGTGTTTATCACCCACATATGAGTGAAATCATGAGGCGTTTGTCTTTGTCTGGCAAATAAGCAAAATATTTGTTAAGATCATACCCTCAAGATCCATCCATGTTGTTGCATATGGGACAGTTTTTTCTTTTTTTATGGCTGAGTAGTTTTCCATTGTGTATATATACCACATCTTCTTTATCCATTCATTAGTTGATGGGAACTTGGATTGCTTCCATCTCTTGGCTATTGTGAAAATGCTGCAATGAACATAGAGATGCATAAATCTCATTGAATTATTGATTTCAAGTTCTTTGGATAAAGAACTGGGATAGCTGGATCATATGGTATTTCTATTTTTAATTTTTTGATAATCTCCATACTGTTTTCTCTAGTGGCTGCACCAGTTTGCAGTCCCACCAGCAATGCTTGAGAATTCCCTTTTCTCCACATCCTCTCCAACATTTGTTATTTTATGTCATGGTAATTATAACTATTCTGACTGGTGTAAGGTGATATCTCATTGTAGTTTTGATTTGCATTTCCCTAATAGTGATTTTGAACATCTTTTCATGTGCCTGTTGGCCATAGTATACCTTCCTGAGAAAAATGTCTGTTCATATCCTCTGCCCATTTTTTGATTGAGGTGTTTTTTTGTTGTTGGGTTCTTTATATATATATATAGGAAATTAACTCCTTGTCAGATATACAATTTGCAAATATTTCCTCTCAGTTGGAAATTTCAGTGATGTCTTATAGTTTTCCTTGTATAGGTCATTCACCTCCTAGATTAAATTTATTCCTAGATATTTTATTCTTTCTGTTGCAATTGGAAATGGGATCATATTCTTGAGTTCTCTTTCTGCTAGTTCATTATTAGAGTATAGAAATGCAACTGATTTTTGTAAGTTGGTTTTGTACCCTGCAACTTCACTATAGTTGTTGATGATTTCTAATAGTTTTGGGGTAGATTCTTTAGGGTTTTCTATATATAGGATCGTGTCATCCTCAAACAGTGAAAGTGTCACTTCTTCCTTTCCAATTTGGACACCTTTTATTTCTTTTTCTTGCCTAATTGCTCTGGTCTAAACTTCCACTACTACAATGAATAGGAATGACAAGAGTTGGCACCCTTGTCTTGTTCTTGTTCTCAGAGGGATGGCTTTTAGTTTTTCTCCATTGAGTGTGATGTTGGCTGTGGGTTTGTCATGTATGGCCTTTATTATGTTGAGGTACTTTCTTTCTATACCCATTTTATTGAAAATTTTTATCATAAATGGATGTTGGATCTTGTCAAATGCTTTATCTACGTTTATTGAGATGATTTTTATTCCTCATTTTGTTAACATCGTTTATCACATTGTTCAATTTGCAGATGTCAAACCATCCCTATGTCCCTGGTATAAACCCCACTTGATCATGGTGTATGATCTTTTTAATGTGTTGCTGTATTCTGTTTGCCAATATTTTGTTGAGGATTTTTGCATCTATATTCATCAGCGACATTGGCCGGTAATTTTCCTTCTTTGTGTTGTCCTTGTCTGCTTTTGGTATCAGGGTAATGTGGGCCTTGTAGAATGAGTTAAGAAGTGTCCTGTCTTCTTCAGTTTTTCAGAATGCTTTGAGAGGGATAGGTATTAAATCTTCATTGAATGTTTGGTAGAATTCTCCAGAGAAGTCATCTGGTCCTGGAATTTTATTTTTGGGGAGATTTTTGATTACTGTTTCAATCTCTTTACCTGTGATTGGTCTATTCAGATTCTCTGTTTCCTCTTAATTCAATTTTGAGTGGTTGTATCACTAAGAATTTATCCATTTCTTCTAGGTTATCCAATTTGTTGGCATGTAGTTTTTCATAGTATTTTCTTCTAATCCTTTGTATTTCTGTGGTGTCTGTTGTAATTTCTCTTCTTTCATTTCTAATTTTATTTATTTGAGCCTTCTCCATTTTTTCCTTAGGGAGTCTGGCTGAATTTTTCTATTTTGTTTGTCATCTCAAAGAACTGGCTCTTAGTTTCTCTGATCCTCTCTACTTTTTTTTAGTTTCTATTTGATTTATTTCTTCTCTATTTTTCATTATTTCCCTCTTTCTGCTGACTTTGGGCTTTGTTTGTTCTTCTTTTTCTAACTCTGTTGGGTGTAGTTTAAGATTACTTATTTGAGGTTTTTCTTGTTTGTTGAAGTGGACCTGTATTGCTCTGAATTTCCCTCTTAGAACAGCTTTTGCTGTATCCTATAAGAGTTGGTATGTTGTATTTTCATTTTCATTTGTCTCCAGGTATTTTTTGATTTCTCCTTTGATTTCTTCATGGATCCAGTTGTTGTGTGGTAGCATGTTGATTTGTCTGCACATATTTGTGAATTTCCAGATATTTTCTTGTCATGAATTTCTAGTTTCATAGCATTGTATTTGGGAAAGATGCTTCCTATGATTTCAATCTTCTTAAATTTATTGAGGCTTGCCTTGTTTCCCAACATATGGTCTATCTTTGATAATGTTCCATGTGCACTTGTGAAGAATGTGTATTCTGCTGTTTTGGGATGGGATGTTCTATATATATAACTATTAAGTCCATCTGGTCTAGTTTTTCATTTAATTCCACTATTTCCTTGTTGACTTTCTTTGTGGATGATTATCCATTTTTGTAAGTGGGGTGTTGAGGTGTCCTACTATAATTGTGTTGCTGTTAATTTTTCCCTGTAGGTCTGCTAGTGGTTCCTTTATATACTTTGGTGGTCCTGTGTTACATGCATATATATTCATAAGTGTTATGTCACCTTGGTAGAATGTCCCTTTTATCATAATATACTGCCCTTCTTTGTCTCTCATTGCCTTTGAATTTCATTATCTTGAAGTCTGCTGTGTCTTATATAAGTATGGCAACACCTACTTCCTTTTGCTTCCTATTTGCTTCAAGTATAATCTTCTATCCCTTCACTCCAAACAAGTGTTTGCCTTTAGAGCTGAGATGTGTTTCCTGGAGGCAGCATATTGTTGGGTCTTGCTTTTTAATCCATCCAGCCACTTTGTGTCTTTCAATTGGTGAATTCAATCCATTTACATTTAAAGTGTGTATTGATATAAGAGGGCTTGATAGTGCCATTTTATGTCTCATTTTCTGGTTTTTCTATATTTCCACTATTTTCTCTTCCCTTGTGTTTCTGACTATGATTTCAGTTTGGTGGTTTTCTGTGATGGATTTCTGAGTTTTCTCTTTATTTATTTGTGTATCTGCTCTGATTTTTTGTTTAGTGGTTACCATGAGATTTGTATGAAAGATCTTGTAGATGGGATAGTCCACTTTTTTCCTTTTTTCTTTTTCTTTTTGGTGATATAGTCCATTTTCTTATAGCCTCTTATCTTCATTAGCTTAAGCTGTTTCCATCCCTTTCGTCTTCCCCTCCTAAGTTTTTATCATAACAAATTATTCCATTTTGTGTTGTGAGTTTGTAAATAAATTGAGGTGTTTATAGTTATTTTTGATGCTTTCCTTCTTTTTATCTTTACTTTTATAATTAAGTATTTGCTAACCTTTTCTGATAGCGAGCTGCAATTTTTTGATTTTTGTCTGTCTATTTATCTCCTTTCTCAAATCTTTGTAGTCCTTTGCCTTTTTGTTTCAGGTATGAGGGCATCCTTGGTCATTTCTTGTAAGGGAGGTCTAGAGGCAATGAACTCCCTTAGCTTTTGTATCCAGGAAAGCTTTTAGTTTTCCATCGTATCTGAAGGATAGTTTCAGTGGATAGAGTATCCTTTGCTGAAAGTTTTTGTTTTTCAGTGTTTTGATTATATCATTCTAATCTCTCCATAGCCTGTTAGGTTTTTGCTGAGAAATTTGCTGAAAGCCTGATAGAGGTTCCTTTGTAGATTATACTCTTCTGCCTTGCTACCATTAATATTTTTTCTTTGTCATCAACTTCTGCCAGTTTTACTCTTATAGGCTTTGGAGAAGGTCTTTTTGCATTCATATAATTATGAGTTCTGTTGGCTTAATGTATTTGTATGTCCAGTTTCTTCCCCAGGTTTGGGAAGTACTCAGCTATTATTTCTTTGAACAAGCTCTCTGTTCCTTTTCCCTCACTTCTCCCTCTTGAATACCTATAATCCTTATTTTGCATTTCCTAATTGTTGGATATTTCTCAAAGAATTTCTTCAGTTTTTTTGTCTTAGTTCTCCCTCGTTCTCCAGCTTAAGCATTTCTGTATTTCTTTCTTCTGAATCACTAATTCTGTCTTTCATAATGTCAGCTCTGTTTTTTA